TTGTTCCTTGGTGAGTTCTACTGCAGTAGGCTGAATTACACAACTTTTCTTTACATGTGTATTTACAGGGTAAAAAGCTTATTCTTTTTCTTATTAGAAGTTAATGAGTTTTAGTTTTTCACATTATCTTCATTGTAACTACCAGGTTTAATCTTGAAAATAAGTTATTACAACAGAGTAAATTATGTGTTGAAAATAATATAATAGCCTAGATGACAACAAGAAAGTGTAAGCTGCATATTGGGCCTCCAGTTCTCTCTAGGCAGCATAATAATCCACGTATATAATAATGCTGTGTCTGCTTTAACTGGCTTTGGAAAAATTACCCATGAGTTTAAAACCAGACAAGCTGCAGGGTTACATTTAAATTTAGGCAGCTCACCTGTACCAGTGAACGGCAGTGAAAATATGATGATTGGTGTGTGATGAGCTTGATGCAGTCCCTTACCAGGAAGCACCAGCAGACACCTGCAAGCCTCAGCTGCTCTGTAGTTAAGCCTTAGCTCAACAAGTGTTGAAAAACACTGGCAGGCACTGGTGATACTGGTGTTGTTCTGTCCTTCAAGACATTTCTCGCTTTGTGTCCATGCTGTACACAGTCGTGCTACCAGACAGCAAGGGACAGGGGAAGTGGTGTGTGCTGCAAAAGCAGGAGGGAGATACGTGAAAGTGCTGCAGAAGAGCTTCTTTCCAAATCACTTTTGAACATGCAGGTATCTTTCTGTCTGCTTCATTGTTTGATAGCAGAGAGGAGACCAGATTACCAACCTGCAGGCGACTAGAGACATCATCATGATGGACTTTGCAAAAGGAGGTCTGGTCTTCCTCCACCTACAGTGGTGGGAGTCACTCCAGTGTCTCTCATCTCCATGGCACAGGAGAAGCAGATGCTGGTCTGTCTGGCCTGAGTGATGGGGTTCCTTGCTACCAAGTCATAGGTGTATTTTTCCTCCCAGATAGCACAGACATGGTAAGGGCTCCGGGTCTGGGCAGAACCTGTCTGACTGCCCTGCAGGACACCTCAACTGCTGAGCACAGGGCTTGGAAAATGAGAACAAAAAGGGAGGAAATTGTTTTCATTAACTTCAGAGAGGCCTTGGGCTGAGAGAATATGAGAGGCCCATACTGAGTATGAGGATGATTGTAATACCTCTCATGTTTGCTTTGTGTGTTTGGATTGCAAGCTCTTTGGCCCAAGGACTGTGTCTCATCATGTATTTACATAGATCCCAGCACAGCAGGTCACTGGTCTCAGTAGAGGCCTCCAATCTCAAGTAATAATAATGGACTGGCTTTCTTCTAAGTGTTATTTACCCAAACAGTACTGTGTTCCATTGGGGAGCATTGTTTTTATTAATATTTTTTTTTCAGTTCAAATAAAATTGTCCACCCAGGCACTGAGGAATGACATGAGTGCTCATCTCATGCTGGGAAATAAAAATTCAAGGGTTTCAAATAACCAGTGCTTCCTGCCCCCTTTAGTTACTTTGAGGACTTGTATCTGATGGTAAAATGCTTTAAATCCACTTTAAACCTTGTCCGGGCTGGCATTCCTTGTCTGGATCTTAGCAACACAACAAAGCTTCCTTTGAAAGTCTCTTAGAGAGGCAGCCCCCAGTTCATGTAGTTGATACGTGTGTGAAGAAGTGCAATTTATTTGTATAACAGCTGCTTGAATGCACATTTTCAGAATCTGTCTCATCATCCTTTAAAACATGTGCTTTAACTTTAAAGCCAAAGAAGTCTTTGGGAAGAGTGCAAACCAACCTGTTGTTTTGAACTAAAAGGTATATTTTATGTAAGGAAAAAAACTCAGAAGACAACCAGGAATCTCTCCACTACACTCATTTTATTGGAAGCAAAGATAACTTTTTTTTTTTTCATGCACTTGCATGTGAAAGTTGTGTATATTTTCTTCTGTTCTGCTGAACAGCATTACTAGTTGACTGTGCATGTAGCTATATGCAAGATCCCTCTTTAGTAGGGGAGATGCTACGAAAGACATTTTGGATCTTAACTGATTGTTTTGCAAACATGCAAACAGTATTACTCTCAACCCAAACTATATGACGAAAAGTTGAATGCTTCTACTTTAAAAATGAAGATCAGCAATGATGCCTTCAGCATGAAACCACCCAATGTAGCCAAGGCATAATTTTATTATCCCAGATGAAAGACAAATATGACCTCATTGTGTTTTGTATGAAAAACATTATTTTGAGTCTGTCTGGTTCCTGCAAGCTTGCTGAGTTGTGTTATTCAGTAATGTTTGGCATATGACAATTTTCTAAGGCTAGTGTGCAGAAAGAAAGAAAATAAGGCCAGGCTGGAGCTACCATCTATTTCCATGGTTTTTTTTCTTGCCCTCTGAGTTCTTTGTCAGACAGTTGCAGTCTGCTACAGTACAACTCTAGTTGTTTTGTGTAAGTGCATCCCAGCTACAGTGTCATTTCTCTTCCAGAGTGCTAAAAGATGTAGGTTGTGTTTAAAGGCTGGAAAGGTCTGGCCTTACCTGCTGGGACACTGGCTTTTCCTTCTTTGACCTATTATAAGGGGTGATATTCTTTAAATCAGTTATCTTAATGAGAGAAAACTTGGCAGCACTGACAGCAGAGCATTTTCTTAGGCAATCAGTACAGATGTGTGAGCAGCCTCACACACATCCTTCTGTACAGGGGTTGCCTGGGCATAAACAACCCCAGGCAAGGAGCTTTGTCAATGGAGGAGTCTGGTGCAGGTTTATGTGCCCAGCTACAAAGATGCTTCAACTCCATCCAGGAACCAGGCTCATCATCCCCCTGTCTTGACAGCTAGCTACCTGCTAGGGTAGTGGGAACTGGAGTTTCCAGAAAGGGTGAAGCATTAATATTGTCTTGTTCACTTCTAGTTGAAGTGAAATAGATGAAGAAAATAGAAGAAGCTCACGGAATTAGGGGAAAAGTAATTTTTAGATTGCAGCTTCATCATTCTGATAATTCCATAAGTAACATTTGTTTCAAGGCTGATGCTTCATTTTGGTATTTTAGAATGGAATTGTCATGTTTGCATCCTCAGCTTTGGAACCCTTGAAGTTTTTTCTTTTTTTTTTCTTCTTTTTCTTTTTTCTTGGAAACAGTTGTAATAAAGTAGGAAAACTCAGGTTTCATCTGCTTTAAGTGTTTTCTAAATAGAAAATATAAGGCCAAAACCACAAGATATTGAAATGAAAGGCAAAATCCCCTACAAACACACTTACTTGTTTCCTTTTTCACTGTCAAAAAACCTCTTTGTTACACTTTCTTGAGCTTCACTGAAAAGGAGAGTGAAAGAAAGAAAAACAAATGTGAAAATAGTTTCCAAAAATAGTGACTTTAAATACAAAGTGCAAGATTTACCTTTTTAATTCAGCAGTGATTAGTTCTCCATGATAGTTTTGGAAATGCCAACGTTTTTAAACGTATGTGTTTGATTTACCTGTTACTTCCAGCTGAAATTTGCAAAGTAGCTCTACTTGAATCAGTTGAGTGAAGAGCCTCTAGAAGAAGGTGAGGGGAGGGAGGGAAGTATATGCAGTTAATGAGCAACAAAGTTAGTGATCTGTGGGAATTACCCAAGTGAGTAATTTTGTTTCATTAATGCACCCTAAAGCACCAAGCTGTTTTGTCAATGGGCACTGCAGGGCCATTGCAGTGCTCAAAGAGACAGTTATGTTACCAACCGCAGTGTAAGGGATAGGTTTACCAACAAGGAGGGAGAGAGAAAGTAGCTTAGCATAAGAAGAAAATTAAAGACCATCTATTATTGTCACTAAAGCCAATGGCAATACTTGTAAAAACTCTAGCAGAACAGGTCACACATAGTTTTTCTGACTTTTCCAACTTCCAGTTTCTTGGTTAGTGTGGTTTCTTAAGAAGGCATCTTGATGCACATAGCATCTCAGTTTGAAAGGGAAAGGAGGGCATGTTCCTGGCTTACTTGAATCGTTCATGGAGGGAAGTAAAAAAGCAGATAGCAGGAATGAAGGCAAAGCTGTATTACAACTTCTAGGCATCTCTGAATCGCTCAATATGGCACACACACAGCATATGATATATTAAGGTGAAGTATTGAATATCCATAAAGGAGTACTAGCAAGCGGTGTCAATTTTCAAACACTTTGCTTTGTCAGCTTCACAAATTTAAAATCAATCATCAAAAAGTCCCTGAATAGATCAGCTGAAGAGACATAAAACCTTATGGTTATCTCCCTGAGAAAAAAGTTGAAATTAAAGGTGAGTTTATAAAGACTCAGATGGCAGAATTTATATTGCTTAAAACTGGGGTCATCCAACCTCTCAGTTTAGAAATAAATGCTGAGGAAAGACAATGACACCCAGTGCATTGCTAATAAATACATCCTGGAGGACAGTTGAACATGCAGAAAAATAGATTTCACAGAGAGGCTTATTTTCAGCATGAATGCCATTTTCTCACTGCATTATCATAAACATGAGAGAAAAATCAGCTATAAATAAAAAATTCTGGGGCAGTCCCTGCGGACTTGTCAAAAATATGTAGTTTTTGTAGGCTGCAGTGTAAAAGTATTCATTAAAATTAATTTTTAAAATGTCCCATCCAATATTAGTTGCCTGATGTCCTTCCTTTGATCATAAATTATAAATGAACCAGCAAAAAAATGAAGAAACTGTGATTCCATTAATGAATTATTGAAGTGTGATTGTTAGTATTTGCAATCACTGGGCTAATAAGCTCAGGCTTGTGACACTGAAGTGTTTCTCATTTAAGGGTGATGGTGATGTGATTAACACCATTATCAGTGTGTCCTGTGAAGCATAAACCCGATGGGCTCCTTCGGTGCCTATGCAGTGACCCATGAAGCTTTCACTGGGTCTGTACTGCAGGAGGGGGAGTTGACACAGAAGAAAGTCAGTGTGAACTGGGTTCACTGGGTAGCTCCCCGCAAGGCGACACTTTAAAAAAGACAAGCAGCATACTGACACCAGAGGCTCTTCTCCCCACAGCAGCCTGCCCGTGCCAGCAGCACACGCAGCCGGCTTGGCCCATTCCAGTGGCGGCTCCGGGAGCTCCAGTGAGTCCGAGAGCAGCTCTGAGTCTGACTCCGACAGCGAGAGCAGCTCCAGTGACAGCGAGTGCAACGAGGAGTCACGTAGTGCCACGCCAGAGGTAAAGCCACACTCAGCTCCTCCCCAGTGGGTGCTCGGAGGGGGAAGCATGGACGAACATGAAATCCTGCTCCCTGATAGATGTTGGAGTTCTCTGCTGTTTGATGCTGTTGACTTTTTTTCTCACTTCACAGTTTTACATGTATGACCGACATACTCATACTAGCTTTTGGAAGAATCCTTCTGGCCTACATTTGAATTGTTTGAAAGAAATATTTAGATTTTTGCCAGTAGCTAGAGAAGATTTTATTGACACAGTGTTCAGCTGGGACTAAGGGAAGGCAACATGACAAAAGTATGTCTTAAGGGACCAGCTAAACTTTTTAGTTGTATTAAATTTCTCCAGAGTCACGTTGTAAACCAGATAAGGAAGCCTAATTAACCATAAATACTCCATAAATACTCCCATAAAACTAGCAGTCACCACTAGTTGACTGAAATAAAAGGGTACATTAAAAACATTCTTTTAAAGGGAAAAGCGTTGCTTCTGTGTGAGATTTGTTCCTTGTCATTCTTCCATCTGCAGCCTGAACCCCCCTCAACAAACAAATGGCAGCTGGATAAATGGCTAAATAAAGTGAACCCCCACAACAAGACCATCATCAACAATCAAAATGAGCCTCACAGTGAGACCAGCTCCCAGACCCAGAGCAACCAGCAGGCCGAAGGTCCTAACAAAGGGAAACTCAACAGCAGCCTGCCCCCAACTGATTCCAAAGACCGGGCAATCCTTAGTCCCATCCGAGAGAAAGCCAAACCACGGGTTGCCCAGAAAACCCCAGAGGCAAAAAGCTCCAAGCAGAAGTCACCAGCTCATAATGAGCCAGCTTCACAAAGGACTACTGGGAAAAAGCAACCCAAAAAGGTAGAAAGGACTTCCAGTGTAGAAGAGTATAACTGGCCCAAACCAAATAATACCAGCAACACTCCCAAAGAAAAAGACACACAGGAACCCCCCGAGCAGCCAAAGGTTCGAACTAAAGCAGCAGTTGGAAAGACTGCTCCAAGGAAAGAACCACGAACTAGCACAGGTCTCACTTCAGAGAAGAAGAAGTACAGAGGTCCCAGCAAAATTGTCCCCAAATCCCGGGAATTCATTGAAACAGATTCATCTACTTCTGACTCAAACACAGACCAGGAGGAGAGCTTGCAGGCTAAGGTATTGCCAGCTTGCCCTGGCTCTGCCAATGGTGTCAAAGCGAAGGACTCTGGCAGTAACATCCTCAGCGTAAGTAGTTTAACTAGCAATGGCAGCAACACATCCATTGACCAGACCAGCAATGACCTGGAGGAGCAGCTCTTTTCTCCTATTCCAATCGTACAAAATGAACTTCTGTCCCCTCTGAGAGAATATGAAGAACTCAAATCTCTGTGGGTGAAAATAGACCTTAGTTTACTCTCTAGGATACCTGGACAAGAGCCTTTTGAGACCACATCTGTGAAAAGTGAACCAAGAGAGGCAAATGTGAAACACAGGCGACCATCTCGGGAGTCCCCTACCCCAGCACCTGAAAAACCACCCACAAAATCCAAAAGGAAACACAAGGTAATTAATTTTCACTGTCTGAAGGAAAACATTGGATTTGTATGCATCCTCGATATCAGAATCACTCTCTGATTCCTCACTGTACCTGCAGCAGCGCTGTAAGGAGGCCTCATAACACTAAGGCTTTATTGTTTTTTCAAAGAACATACATTTACAAGTGCATTACTGCAAATTAGCATCAGAAACCAGTAAAAACCAAACTCCAGCTGACAAAATCAATGAACAATGTATTTTTTTGACATTGGTCTTACAAGCTTTTTCACTGTATTTGCTCACTTACCCATTCATTTCTAGTGTCCTCTAATCTGCAGAAGGATTCCCAATGACAAGTTAATATGACTATGGGTTCAGCCATACTCAGAAAATGTGACTTCTATTTCGAAGGCGGGATTTTATTGTCTTCAGAATTAAGGCATTTTCACCACTGGCTTAAATAGGCATAGCTTCATTAAAATCAATGGAGTGGTGCTTGCTTATGCTCCTGGTGAATTTAGTCTGTATTGTTTTGTTGTATAAACAAATGTGATTCATAGAAATATAATTTGCTTAACTAGCTGCTTTCTCTACACAGCTACCTGAAAAAGCAAATATATTTTGACTTAAGGTGTTATATTTTATCATGTGTTTTGTATTATTTATGCCCAAGGGTATCCTATCTTGTGGGGTATGACAGTGCACTTCAAACTAAACATGTATTCGGAAAAAAACCCTGAAGTTTTATATCATAAATGAATTGTTGTAGTCAGTTTTTCCAGCTGGAATGGTTGTGCTCTGGTCTGTCTGCAAGAACTCATCATAGCATGGGGCTTTTTATACCCCAGATTTTATAAATGATTGTGAACGTGACTTCAGCTGTTTGTTGTAGTGGACTTCTTGAAATCCTGAGTTTCAGCAGTCCAGTGGTACAAGAGAGTTAACTAAGCAAAGGCAGACAATGCCAGGCAGACACAGGGTCTGCACCCCTGCCTACATGAGTCACTGCACTGGCTCCTTCCCTGTTGAATTAAGTGGAAATAATTACATGAGTAAACTCAGCAGGTTTTTATTCAGTTTATATTCTAGCTGTACACTAAAGGCAGATATGTAAGAAAGAAGGAGGAAAGAATAGAAAAGGGATGCATAAATGTCCATGCTTATGTGTATGTATAAGTACACCAGTGTGCATACTAATTATGAAAAAAACCTTCTTGCTAGGTACCTTAGTGGAGTGCCAGTATGATGGAGATGGAATCGGCTAGTATTGGCAACTAAACTGAGGCTCCCAGGAAAAATAACATGGTCATGAAAAATGGAACCTCATAATTTGAATCAGAAAGTAAAAAAATTAGGAATCTCACTCTAGGACTGTGCAAACATAAGTTACCCTCTGGAACAGCTTATTCAGTTGCTGTGTGATTGTTCCCAAGGGGAAACAAGCCAATTAGGATGACTTGAGGGTATATCATCAGTTAAAACAGGGTAGGGAGAGCCTGATTTCTATTTCTAAATCATGCTATTAAAAGATTTATTTTAGCCATCTACTAGAGGGCTCAAAGGCTGATATGAAGGTTCCAGTGACAGAGCAGTAATCAGCTTTGCTTGTATCATCCTAGTTCAGGCACAAAAGTCATGCATCAGGGAATCTTTCAAAGCAAATTTTAAACCAGCTGTCACTGTTAATGCCTACCCCAACTCGATACTCCAGTCTTCTAGTCCTGTGAGGAATACTTACTAAGGAAAGTTTTCCCATCAACTTCTATTAAGTCAATGAGTAAAAGCTATTTACTTGAGTAAGATTTGGCGCTATCATGTCATTCCATCTGAATTATTAATTACATTCCAGTGCACTACAGAAGATAACTACAGCACATGAGGCGTTTTGTTGCCTAATTATCTGGGTGTGTCATTTGTTATATAACTTCATGTCTCAAGTTTGGAGCACATTTAGCCCTGATTCCAGGTGACTTTCACTTCTCTTAGACCAGTATTTTAACTGCTGCTACTGTAAAGGAAATACACTGAGATTCCTGAGCTCTTCTTAATAACAAGTGAAACTGTGCATGTTGAAACTTTCAAATTCTACCCCTTTCATTAAAGCAGACAGAAAGCCTGGATACCTTTGTTGAAAGCAAGAAACAGCGCCTGGAGGACTCTTCAGCTTCATGCCTACTCCCACCTTGTATCTCTCCAATACCAAATCATAGATTAACCAGCACTAAAGAGTAAGTTTGGGTTTTTTTGCAACATTCATGTGGGATTTCATGGTAATGTTCTACAAATGTCTCTGCTGTAGACCCAGGTGTGGTTTACAGCCCATAAGCTTAAGTGACCTGGCATCGCTATTACCATCATTCAGGAAGAGGTTCCATGTGGTTTTGGATGATACTCATTCATCCTTCTGATGGACCACAGGCATTCAGAATGCCACCACAATCCTGGTGTGCTCTTTTACCCATACTATGTCTTTTCAGTGTTCTTTATTGCCCCCATCATCCTTAACTCCTATGGCCAGAGGATCCTACTAAAAGTGGGCTTTATTTGATTGCCTGGAATTTATTTGTTTTAAATTGTTGTCATAAGAGACAGTTCTCTGTTTTATTGAACAAAATAGTGACTTTGCTGTTCACTTCAGTGGCTCTTATTCTTTAAGTGTGTGTACAGCCATGCCAGGGGTGACCAACCTTAATGTTTCAGACATGTCCTTTGTATTTGATTACAGACGTAATCAAATACTTTGTGCCTTTCAGAATGTCTTTGAGAGATGGCTATAATGCTTGAGCAAACAGGTGCCACATAAATAATGATTCTGATTAGTATAATCACAAGATTAACATTCTATAAATAACCAAAGAGTTCAATTCCCTTCTGTCATCAATTCTGTGCTTTTACAGTTTTGAGACGAGGCATTTCTTTCTGCTGGGACAAGCAGATGATCAAACCCTCAATTTACTTCTGAAAACAATTTGAGTGTAGTAGTATTTAAATTTAGATAAACTTCAAAGATTGTTTATGAAATAGCATACAAATTTTTAAACCCATAAGGAAGGTTGAGCATCATTTTATTTATCCTAGTATATAAATATTAAGGACTAACTTAAGTCCTTGAGCTAAGCCCTCATTCTACCACTGAGTCAGTTGGAGTCTGAAAAAGGCAGATGAGTTGAAACTTACACTGTGTTCTGTAACATGTTTGCACATTTGATAAACATCATGATGGGTGTTACCTGATTGTCATTGCTAGAAGTACAATAAGCAGAGATATATTGCAGGGGGAATCAAGGATTATCCATCCCCAATACCTCCACAATCCATTAAAAAAAATCCTTCTACACTTGCCACCAGCAAGCCCTAAGGATCCACCCCCAACCTGATGTTTCTTAATTTCAGCTTGTTTTCCAGGTCATTAATTTGATTCCTTGGAGCTTGGTATTCTCTGTTAAAATACAGTTGTGTCCATCAATAGTTATTTCCATATGCCAGCTTTTCATCTTGTCTGCCTCAAGTTTTTAAACAAAATTTTCTCACTTCTTTTTCACTGCAGTGGTTGAGCCCTGGATCACACTGCATTTGTTATTAGTGTTTTCTGAGTTCACTTGAAACAAATGCAATATTGTTTGATAATTCAGGTCTTCAATTCCCAGCAATGTGCAGCTGAATAGAGATCAACATATTTCCCAGAAGATTAGGGAGCTGGCTGAACTGTGTGGTGACAAATTTCTGGAGAAACCCCAATTATTTTTAAATAGTCAGGAGTGGTTCTGTTCCGCAGAGGGTTAGGTAGAGTTTTAAGGGGAGGCAGAAGAAAGGGGAAGCTGAAAGTACTCTTCAAGGGCATGGGGGAAAATAACACTTCAGTGGCAAGAGGTTGAAAGACAGGCTGCCGTTTTCTCCTTTATTCCCAAAGGTTTTACATTTCTTTCAGAACTCCTATATCTCTGTGTAAGAACTTTGAGAAATCAGGGTGATTCAGCCACAGGCGTGATGGTGATGTTCATCCATTAAGAAGGTGGTATGTCCCATGGTGGATATTCCCACCTGGGAGGACCTTTTAAGTCTCTCGTGTTAGAACTTCATCCCTGTGCCAACAAGCCAAGTTCCCCAAGGCAGCCTTCAGAGACTCACTGGGGTTTTTATAGATAGAAGAGTCTTTTGACAGGAAGACTATGACCTCTAGGCTGAAATTTGGAGGCATTCAGGAATCTGCAGGAATCGGTGAAAGACAGCCCCCTTTCACCATGCCTCTGCAGCTATCACTAGCTTGCTGTCCATGGTTTAGACATTTGAATACATTTCCTCATAATCTTTCCCTAAATATATGTGCTCATAAAGCAGGCAAAGATGCACAATTAATTTTAAAGGGTTACATATCTAATATGGACAGTTATATGCCTAATTTCCACAAGTTTCTATGACTACATATACAATTTGAGTCTAGAAGTTTCAAATGGTCAAATATGAAGTTAAAAGCTGTTCACACAAGCTAAGAGCTGGTTTGTATTATGTTGTCATTTCATAAGCAAGTGGTTATCTCTCTGTTCCTTCCCTTACACACTCTGGGGCTGATGCCTTTTCTTAAATGTGACATGACACTTAAAATTATTCAAACAAATGTTACTGTATTTTCCTTGTTTCTGATATTTCATTGCAAGTGAAGGAATAAACGATACTGTGTTTTATTCAAGTAGTTTAAGCTGAAACACTGCTGTGAAGCTGGATTTTGGTCAGGTCAGCTGCTCACTTTGCAGCAGAGGATTATTTATGTATTTATCTGCTTGCCAGAGCAATTTTAATTTAGGCATTAATTTTATGTGCTGCTGAATACCCTTTATATTTGAATACCTGATTGGTAGACCTAGTCCAGAGCACTGTTAGCCACTGTTTAGCAGTTTGTAACAATGCAGGAGAGTTATTTACTGGTGCAGGATGTCTAAATTTCAAACTGGACTCGTACCAGTGAAACATGTTTGCTGTCTAGCAGGCACACTGGAAATCTGTCTGAGGCAAGCATTTCAGCCTGGTTTTCAAGACGTCCTGTTCCTTTTTGTTTGACCTGTAGTTAAAGATGCACCTATACTTGGCAGCATATATTAGCCGATCTTTAGAGTAGTCACAGCTGTCTATATGCAGCATTTCATTGTGGACAGGGAGAGGTGAGGCAAAGAAAAACCAAGTGATTGGTATAGACAATGGTTTTGTGTCACTAATAAGGCAGAGATACCACTGAATACCACAAGGAGTGCGTAAAGAAATGACAAAGAAAGGCAGCTTGAAATGTGAGAGGAAATGGAAATTTTCTCTCTCCTTCACGCAGTGACCTCTTGTTACCTGCTTGTTTTCTGCCCCAGAAGAAACCTGGTTGGAAAAAAAGAAGCAAATGGGGATCCTTCTTGGGTTTTGATAATTGGCCTTTTCAGTCACAAAAACTAAACCCTGCAGCCACAAGACCATCAGTTCTGCTTCTATTTTTCCTTAAAATTTTATTGTGTTTCTCCCTAGATTGTACGTATAGTTTAACTAACAATCATGTCAGCAAATTAAACCATTGAGTCTCGGTAATTATTGCAATAAATTCATTCAAAATTAGAGATTACTGCAATCAAAGACCAGTTTCTTAGGGCATTAACAGCCCAAAGCAAAGTGACAATCTGGTTTACTGCTGGTAACAACCTATTTCATAAAGGTTATTGTTAACATAAATGCTTTGGTGTAAATCTTAGGGAGGTAACATTGCTAAATAAATTACTGGCTTACTTCCTTCAAAAACTCATAGGGTTAAATGGGCAACACGGAAAAAAAGAATAGAAAAGAAAAAAACAAAATAAGTAGAATTATAACCATAAAGTATTGGGGTTTTGAGTTCTATAGAAATCAAAATCCTCAAGTTCATTTTCTTTTGTGGTTAAGTCTTCCCACCCACAGAATGACGTGTGTGCCAGAGCTGAGGAGCTGCACCTGTATGTTGGTTTCCCCTCTTATATTTAAGCCCAGAGAAGGAGATAACTGGTGAGGTTTTAAGTCATTGCACCTACAGCCACCTTAAGTTTTTCTGATACTACTCTCGTGATGCCTCCACCTCTGTGTACAGCTGAGCAATGTTGCTTCAATTACTTTACTTATGCCTTAAATTTCCCTGTGCAGTTGTAGACTGTGTGCAAGCAAGAGTCCTGCATTAACCCTGAAAATATCCATGGGTGTGCTGAAGAATCTCACTAGTGGTGCAGAGTCAGATCCTGAAGGGGTCTTGGCCAATAGCACAAGTTTTTCTTCATATGCTTTTGAGATCTGACAGATGTGATTGCTTTTCGCTTTGCAAAGCTGTACCGGGGGGAAAGGAGACTTCCACACCTCCATGCGCAGCAACACAGAGAACTGCTTTGCTATCTGCTCCCACTTGTATGTGCATATTCAGGATTCCCTGTGTAGAACACTCATTTGGGAGACAGCGGGTTTGGATTCTGCTCCTGGGATTTCATTAACTGTGTTTGCTTTGCCTCTGCACAATCTGGTAATGCGCATGCTTTCTTGGGCATGCACTCCTTTAGAAAACTTTCCTCTGGAAGAAGTTCAGTGTTATTGCGCTATAGCTGTGGTAAATGTCTGAGTTCCAAAATGCCCTTTGGGGGTCAGAAAGCTAACAGATGGGGCTGCAAGTAAGAACTTTTTGGAGGCTGTTGCAGGTCCACATGCACATAAAAGCAGGCTCCTCAAAGAACTGCCAGTGTCTTCCAATCTGATTGCTTTCCTTTGATCAGGACCATGTGTTTTCTGAGCAGGACAGGATCCATACCAGTCCTACTGTAAGGCAACATGAATTTCTGTGTTTATTTGATTCCTTTAGTCTGAAGATCTTTAATATCAGAATTTCAAATCAGATACTTTTAACTTTGCTGCACTCCAGATGGTTTTGATTAGAAGAGAGATAAAACCTGAAACATGGGGAGCTTGTTTGATTTTACAGATAAACTAAAATAGTCTTCTATGACCAAATTTTGTATCATATTTTTATATTCACCAAATGACCAAATGGGAATGACCAAAGTAGGTGTGGATCCTGATATTGTTGGGAAAACTGCAGAAGAAGCCAGGCTGGAATAAGAGAGCTCCAGAATGAGGAGCAAGGAAGCTTGGCTTGCCTTCCCCTCTTTCCCTTGTTACTTTAAGGTAAAGTAGATGTGTAATTCCTGACACTGACTGAAAGTGACTGGGAAGGAAACAAATTCTTTGTGACTTAATTTGTTATTGAAATTTTGGTCAGTAATCATGAAAAGTAAATGACCGTGTAGCACAATATTAGATGTCTAACAGAAGTCTAACAAAAGATTAAAATTCAGGTTATCCGTATTGACTGAGCTGGGACAGTACCTAAAATAAAAATCTATGAGTATATTAACATGTTAAACAGCAGGATGTTGGGTTCTGGTTTTACCCTTTTTGAGGGATTTGAGGGGAGAAAGGTCTGTGAGGTTTTTCTGGGTTTACTGTGTATTACAGCTGCTACTTCTAGCCAGCTAACAATTTCTGTACATAAAACAGACAATAGATTATCATATTACTTGAGCTTTCATGTCAAAACCACATTCATTTTCTGAATCACGTTCAATTCATCAACCAATATTTGCTCAAGGGCTTTTGCCAGCTACAAGTGTACCATTTTAATATAGTGTTGAACATTGGTTTTATTCTAGAGGTCAAATAATTATTATCTTCTTATTATTATGTTTATCATTTTGTAGTTGTCATAAATTATTTTTTTTTTGGTTCACATGCCATCTGCTGTCATGCTTTTTGCAGAGGTTGCTTAGGTGGGCCCTAATCCATCTCTTAAGAAGATGCATAATGTTAAACACATAAATAGTCATACTTGATGTCAAAGGAGCTAACCCCATGCATAAAACTTTCCAGCACTTTGCTGAGTCAGAACCTCTGTGACCTCTTAAATGAAGACTGACTCAAATTAGCATTTAAATTGGGTACAATTTATACTAATGCAGTGGAAGTTGTCCTCCAAAGCAAGAGGTTTCTGCAGCCATTGAAAAGGCAGAGGTAGCTCTTCTGTTTTCCCTGCCTATTTCCTTTTGACTTAGTTCCTAGGACATGGGGACTGCAAGACATATTTGAAGGTAGAGCTGGCTTCTCAGTAAATATAATCCTGGTGCTATGGAGGATTAACCAAGGTTCTTGAAATGCAACTGGTTCTTATCTGTGTCCCAGGGGCAGCGGTAACTCAGTGAAAAAGGTGGCAAAGAAAAGAGAAGAGAAGCTGTTCCCTCCTCCATTATCCCCACTCTTGGACGAGTCTGTGCACCGGCGACACAGCAGTGACAACAGCTCCTTCAGCCAAGAGACCAACATCACAAACACCTCTCAGACCAGCAGCTCTTCCTCCTCTGTTTCTAAACACAGAAAGAATGAAAATAAATCTTCTTCTAACCCCAAAGGAATCTGTGTAAGTAACTGACCTCAGTTGCTGGAAGTGAACAAGATAAAATTAACTTAGCTTTGTTCTTTTTGATTTTTTCCCCCCCTCAGTATCTATTTTTAAGTGCTTCTGTAGCCCCTCTCAAGATCAACGACAAGTGGGTCTTTGCAGAGCTGGTCATAAGCAACTCTTGTAAGTTCCATTTTTAGGTCAGCATCAGGTATTTACCTGGCATTGTCTGTCGGTCCCAGAGCCTCAGAGGAGAGCTTTGCAGCCACCAGATAGCTGCAATTAGTTCCTTAGATCTATAGCTACAGCACACACTTCAAAAATACACTTCAAAAATAAAGCTTCAAGAATTTTGGTATCCATCACTTAAATAATTTCTCCAAATTCTCACCTAGAATGGAGTACTATAATTATACTGAATATTGTGGACTAAACTAAACAAAAATCTAACAAAAAACTACCTGTCCATAGCACACTCAACATGGAAATACCTTGTCTCAGGTTTGCAGGCTTCTGGCTTCCAGCAGTTAGGTTTATTTACATCTAAACTCCATGAATTATGTGTATAAGCTTTCAGATGCCATGTAAATAGTTGGCTTTTACACCAAAAAAAAAAACCATCATTCTGTTAAGGCCATCTCCTGTTCAAAGTTTTTAATATAGGCAATTCTTGTTTGCTTGCTTTTCACCAGATTCAGATGAGGTTTTTTACTGAAAATACATGAAAAAGAGCCAAGCCTAGAAACTGCATAGCAAATTCACTAAAAAAAAAAAAGTTAGGTTTCACATCTGTTTGTTATCCCCTTTTAGGTTAAATGGGCAAACTTAAGGGTTTGGGCCCATTTTAAATAAACCCTCTTGAGTTTCAAACATATCATTTAGTATCAAACTGTATCTTGTCAAATTTAAAAGACAAGAAGATTCTGCCACATAAAAGGACACGCATAGCCCCGTTTTTCACAGTTCGATGCTTCATGAGAGGTTGTTATCCTGCACTGTAATAGTAAAACTCACAACTTGCATTGGATTGTAGGTGACAAATCACTTCACCTTGTTCATTCATCCCTGTTGCTTTCTGATGTCATTGTGTCACTTCAAGCTGCGAGACTAATACACACGCCTTCAACTGGAATCAATGCCGAAATGAACTGCATATGTCAGCAAATAAACAATGCTGTGTAAACAGCAGGGCCACTTCCTCTTGCTCCCAGCATCTTTAGTCAGATTTATCCTTGGTTTATCTATTAACCTGATATATGGCATATTTGTGTTCTAAAACATGTTAGACTTCTTTGTCTGTAATTTAGTTTATCTGGCTGTGGACCTAGCTTGCAAGTTGCAGTTGCCTGATTAAAAAGTTTCAGTTATGCTTCTGGTTTTAATCAGTGCAAAGTCACAACTCCTGACTTCTGCTTTCCGTTCTTCTGCCTGTTCTGTGCAGCAAGGGTGAGGGAACCACTTCTTGCTGAAATCTGAGCAGACTTTTCAGGCACCTTACGGTTAGCTAATAATAATATAGAAAAATAGTTACATTAGTGTGATACTCCTTGAATGAAGTCGAGTTTACATCCAGCCCTTCTGCATTAGATTTCCCTACCATTGCTTTCAGCAGTGTTTCTTGTCAGTCACACTGTGGCATCTGCACTGACTTCAGCTAGGAATGTAAGTTAATGAGTTCAGGTCAGAGGTAGAGTCCTATTGCCTAATTAATGTAATAGGCTTATGTTATAAAGGATAGAAGGGTGGCTTTGTGAGGTAACCTGGATGTAGTTGGGTATAAACAAGTGATAATTTGTGCCTTAGTCTTTTGTTTGTTGTTTTTTTTCTGAAGAGTGGATATGAGCACTTCCATTGTTTGAAGCTGTTTGCTTGAACTATCAAGAGTTAGTAACAGTCCTTTTTGATCTAGGAGGAAGAATCTCACAATACACCAACAGCCAACCCTCTTCTTGATACTGGCCATCTAGAAACAGACATCTGGTCTGCAATGCCAACACTTTCCAATGGGAATTCTGAGTCCAGAAGACCCAAAATAACATTTGATGATGTGTAAGTATTATTGGCCTCTGTGCTAGCTGTATGTTATGTAGCTGGGATTTTCGTGCAAGCAGAGGTCCCGGTGAAAGAGATTATCTTTGATCATAACACTAGCATTGGGCACCTGTGTGGATAGTGCTGCACAAAGTTTTAATCTTTATAAATGGACTATTGTCACTGATTAATGAAGACTCAGTTGATAAATGTTTTTAGATCATGAATGTTGATTCACGGTGATTTTTTTTTTCTTTTTTTATTTTAGCTCCTGTAATGGAAACTTTTTATACTTAATTAATTTAAAATATTCTTCCTTTTCCTCTGTTCAGCAAACATTAATGGGTCCTTTGAGTGGGCAGTTTCTTCAGCTAGTTATTTTACATTCTGGTTGCCCATATCTTTGCATACAGTAGCTTTAGATTAATACCAGGTTAAGATGTAGAGCTAAGTGGGTGTGTATGTTGAAATTGCTCTTGGAAGCAGTCAGCAATTTTCTCAAACAACATTTGTCCAGCTGTATGAAAACAAAGACTTGAAATAATTGATTTTGTCTGTTTAGGCTTCACAATGCGGATTATTACATGCAGGAGGCTAAGAAGCTAAAGCATAAAGCAGACGCATTGGTAGGTTACCACCGGGGATTTTTGTCTCTTTCCACTATGGAACTGGGTGTTACAAAAATGTCCATTCTGAATGTCATCTAAAGTCTCAGAAACCAAGAGGAACCCTGCTATTGGATAAAGGATGCTTCAGATTGTACTCCATAAATACAGTGTCCGGAGCAAGTCAAACCCTGAGCACCATTCCTAGCCTTTAACAATTCTTCCCCCCCCCCCCCCCCCCCAAAGGAAGCTCCTACTATAGTTGGTATCTCTTCTGAGGTGCAACAGTCATGCTGTTTATTAAGGATGTAAGATAATTTCATGAAAGATGATGTGTATTTGAAATTTGGTTTCTTATTTACTTTGTGGTTAAACCAAAAGTGCTGAAATATTCTATTACAGAAAGTTAATAAAAGCCAATCACCCTCCACCCCATTATCTTGTGGTAAAACTGTTTGATATTTCCAATCTAATTGTTTAAAATTTGCAACAATTGATTTTTAAATAGTACATTCATTTTTATTGCAGGCTTTTAGGCTGGTAAATAAAGACTGAGCACACTACTTCCCAAAAAGTTTTGCAATGAGGTAGTTCAGTGCTGGGAAAGCTTTTTATCTCATTTTACCCCAAATGAAATTCCAGTAAGATTGACCTAATTTTGCAAAGTGTTTTGATTTTGATAAAACTACTTAATCTGGCAGACTATCGTGGCTTGTTCAGTCCAAGCTATCACTAGCACTGAAGTGCCTTTAATAGCCATTTGCTTTGTAAGTAAGGACTTTGCTCCTGTAGGCTACATAGAGTACAGAACAGCAGCTCAATTAGGCAGGCTTAGTGGAACTTGACTCCTCTCTTTATTTAAAGTAAAATGTCCAAAATGGGGTGTAGCCATTCACTTTGCCCCTCAAAATCAGAACTGAAAAAGAACTGGGTAATTATTTACCTCTCACTTTATTATTTGGGGGAGGTGGAGTGTTGCATGTATATTTCATTATTCCACAGCAGAGATTTTGTTCTTGGAAAGAAGTCTTTATCAAAAAAACCAAACCAAACAATCGTGCTATGTTTCTGAACACCAAACAAAAAGAAATTAAAATAAAATGGCTTTCCCTCTGTTGTCAGTGAGCTGAAAGAGTTGATCCGTCAGGCTGCCTGCTTCCACTCTCCAGGCTGCCTTTTGACTTGGGGCACGATGTTACCAAGTGTGTTTGCAGTGGGAGGTGGGTTCAGGTTTTTGGCAGCCTGCCATGGCTGTCAGTAAGTGAGCAGTCATCCCTCCCGACATGTCCGGTTACAGGAGGTGGCCTGCGCTGATGCCTGCAGCCCAGTTTAGCAGACCATGTTCAGCCAGAGCCCTGACATCTGCACGCAGGAAGGGCTGGCAGAAGCAGACTGACAGCACCTCCCAGAGCTGATTGACCTTTAAAGAAAATACACATGGTTCTGGCACAGGGATGCCTGCTGCACGCTAGCAAATATTTACAGGCTCAGGCTCCTGATGATCTCAATATGCTATGTCAATCCACTTCCCTCCGCAGCCTGATTCACTAAGAAAGTGTTGACCTGTCTCCCATCCTCTTACCTTTGACTATACCTTGCAGAAGCAGGGGAGTTTCTCAAGCAGAACTAAGAGGAGCAGGCACAGCACATGATGCTGCTGCCTGCAGGCAGGCCTTGCCTGTCACATGCAGTTTGACACCCCGAGTGCTGTTACAGGAATGTGGGACCATACGGTACAATACAACTTGTTGGCAGATAGAAATACCCATGAACAAAGTATCTGCTTTTTCTTTCCACTAGTTAGGTCTTGACTTCTTTTTTTTAACCCAGCCCAATACAGCTGCACACAAATTATCTCCATGTAACACATTTGCTGTGGAATCCCGTAGTGTTAGTTGTCCTATGGAAACAATTGCTTCTGGTTACTTGGTGCTGACATGACAAAGCACACATGGCTTTGAAAGATATGTTGCAGTGGCTAGAAAGATAATGCATGTGACCTCAAAATGTGTCAGCAAATGTTAATGGGATTTGTGGCAGTGCTCTTTCTGAGCTTGTATGAAAAATAGATTTCTGGTGAAGGGCAGGCTTGGGGAAGAGTGGCTGCTCCGCAGAAAAGGACCAGGGGTGCTGATTGACAGAGCTGAGCATGGGCCAGCTTGTGCCCAGGCATCCTGGCCTGTATCAGCAAGAGCATAGCCAGCAGGAGCAGGGCAGTGATCATCCCCCTGTATTGGGCACTGGTGAGGCTGCACCTCAAATCCTGTGTTCAGTTCTGGGCCCCTCAGTACAAGAGAGACATTGAGGTCCTGGGGTGGAGCCAGAGAAGGGCAATGAAGCTGGTGAAGGATCTGGATCACAAGTGTGATGAAGAACAGTTGAGGTACCTGGAGGAGAGAGGAGAAGGCTCAGTGGGGGACCTTATTGCTCTCTACGACTGCCTGAAAGGAGATTGTAGTAAGGTGGGGTCAGTCTCTTCTCTGAAGGAACAAGTGACAGAACAAGAAGAAATGGCCTCAAGCTGTGCCGGGAAGGTTTAGGTTGGATACTAGGAACAATTTCTTCACAGAGAGGCTCCTCAGCCATTGGAACAGGCTGCCCAGGGCCATGGAATTGTACAAAAAACATGTAGATGAGGACCTTAATGACATGGTTTAGTGGTGGGCTTGGCAGTCCTGGGGTAATGGTTGGACTTGATGATCTTAAAGGTCTTTTCCAACCTAGCTGATTCTAGGATTTTGTGTCTTATGGGAGTGACCCCAGGAAAACTTACCTTTGTCTGGATGGCAGTAAGGAGTCAGCTAATGTGGATGGGCTGCTGCAGTGGCAACTGACTGTAACATATGGAAGAGATCTTGGAGACCTCACTCTGTTCTCAGCTGAGCTGTGATGAGCTGAAGGAATTCCACCTACTCTGCTGGAGTCAGCATGGAGCAAAGGGCAGGATCAGATCCCATTTCTGGCTCAAACTGTGTGTCTGTATGAGATACGCTTGCAGCCACATTCCTTCTTTTAAATACCACAAAAAGTAATCTTTGGAAGACTTACTTGATGATCTTAAGGTCCTTTCCAACCCTAACTATTCTATAATTCTATGACTTGAAGCAAGGAATTCAAAGAATATGCTGAGAAGTGGCCATTAGAATAGGGAGAAAATACTTAGAAATAATTCCCCTTTTGTGGTCATTCAAGTAATACCTATCAGTTATACAAAGACTTTATATATAATCAGTGCACAAGAGCAGAACTTGAAATTGAAGGTATGCAGAGGGAGCTAGTTGCAAAGATTGCTTAGAAGTAGCCGCAAAGGCACAAATTCTGTTATCTTGAACCAATACTAAATGTTCTGCTTAATATATTGCTAGGATAGGCTTCCATTTTGTGAATGAAAAGCATACGCAGATGCATCAAAAATATTTTGATAGAGACATACAAAGAAATTTAAAAATTATTTAAAATATATTAGATCTCTTATATCAAATGCCACATTAGTAGGATTCTTACATCCAGCTATCAAAAAATTGAAAATGTTAAATACTGTTATAAAATACTTACTATAAAAATGTCATATATAATATTCATTACACATAAAAAAGAAATCAGTATGTCTAAGTCAGTTTAATCACAACCATTATGAGGGCTAAAACCTTTTGCGATAAAATCCTAGTAAAATAAAATATTTAGCGGTGCTATATTTTCTCCCTTTTTTTTGTTTCTGCTCTTTCAATCATCACATAAGTGATGAGATTATTTCTTTTGGTCAGCAGTTAACAGAATGCAATGTCTGACAAGTGACATGGGGTTGTAACTTGACATTCAAACTTAGTTCATATGTTGAGGGGGAATATAAATTTGTTCAGACATGCTTAGTATCCCTTATTGACTGTATAAATCCGTGCATGTCAATGGACATACACTGACTTTCCTCTGTGGAGCTTTGGGCCATATACTACCTGAAAAGATCTGGTAAAAACACAGTCCTTTCCTTAATTACTGTATGAATTCATTCTTAACTACCAGCATCGCTTTGCTTTCATCCTAATGCTAGTGTTGCTTTGTATAATGATGTGTCTACCTGGAAATTAAAGCTGAAGGATTTTCTTAATGGTGTCATTCCCATTTCAGCTGGAGAAGTTTGGCAAAGCAGTGAATTATGCTGATGCTGCCCTCTCCTTCATCGAGTGCGGGAATGCTATGGAGCGAGATCCATTAGAAGCTAAATCTCCATACACCATGTACTCAGAGACTGTGGAACTCATCAGGTTAATGTCCTTTCTGTGATCATTTTCATCATCTCATTTCAGTCATAATTAGAACCTGCTATGTTTTAAAAAATACCATTTCGACGTATTAATGATTTGTCCAAGGCATCTTCATCTCAGAAGTCATCATAATTAGTTCTTGCCATTTTATTAATGTCATGGAAAATTTATAATTGATGGACACTGCTTTTATAAATTATCCCCTTTAGAGGTTATAATGTGAGTGTTATAATTTGCAATATTCATAAAATTAAAATTGAAATGTAGTGGGTGGAAGTAAAGTATAGTAATTTCACTGTTTGGCAATGACACTTGTCTTTTTAAAAGGTGTAGTTTTATAATTCCAAACATTAAAGTGAGTCTATCAGGATTTCTATTACAAACCCTGGTTTTAGAGGTTTATAACTTGGCTGTTAAAAGAAAAAAGCTGAAATTTGGCACATAAGATCATAGAGAAGAAGCTTCCTGCATGTGTTGTATTAAGGAAGTATATTTTTTAATGTTAAAGGAATGTGAACCAGCTGAATTAGTTTAAATACAGTTTTGTAGGCTTAGAATATGGGTAAGAGGGCCTTAATTTACTAATAAGATGTCTGAATTATTATTTTAAGATCTGCTCCTATTCCATGTAGCTGTTTCAAAGTCTTGGCTCGGTAGAAATAATGGTCTCCTGAGTAACTAAGGGCTTGTTTGCTTTACTTGCACAAATTACCAAAGTGAAATCAAGCAGGATTAAATTTACCTGTAAGTAGACCAACAGGATTTTTCCTCTTCACTGTGATGCACCTTTGCTTTCTCCAGTGTGTGCTGGGAATACCACCATTAATGTCAGTGTAATTACTGGTAGTTTTCACAAAAGAAAGAAAAGGGGGCAAATCAGGCCCTAAATGTTTGATTTTTAATATGACAAAGGTGTTTTTTTAACATGTAGGGTTTTAAGATGCCAGATTAGCTAATGGGGACTGCCAGAAATAATGCATGTTTTACATTCTGAGTAAGCAGGTATTTACATAATAAAATGTATCAGATCTTAAGAAGCTCTTACTCTCAGGTAAATAATGTGCTTGTTAAATATTTAAAAACATGTTTTTACATCGTACACTTCATAAAGAAAGAAAGAAACTCTGAAGAGATTACTTAACAAAAAAAGTTATGTTCACTCAACACTCAGGACCCAAGTTAAACTCTCAAGAGCAGAGGGCTTAAGAAAAGGAGCAGTCTACCTCTGCCTGCACTCTGACAGCATAGTACTTTGAGTCCTGAACTACATAACTACAGTTGTATGGCGGGATAAATTGTGTTTAAAGAAATATTCTTTAAAGAAGTAGGAGTTTCTTCATAGGAGCCCACATGTATCTTTGTTAAGAAAAACACATAGCACAGTGGAAAATGTTGTTCCTCAGCCAGCATTCTGTCTGTTCAAATGTGGATGGACCAAAAATCTTCATTCATTTAACAAGCCACACCACATGCATCACTTAACTGGAAGAATGGCAGCCCTAGGAGTAGCTCACAAGTGGGTGATACCTGCAGCTCTCCTCCACCACTGGTGCTGGATGGAGTCAGCTGCATGTATGGCTGCATCTTGGAGCAACTGGTATTCCTCAGACTACGCACCCCTGCTGCCTTGATCCTCCTACCAGCTCCTGTATCAGCACAGTCCTGCTGCAGGCTCTGTGACAGATAGACCTTGGCACAGAAGCAGCACCTGAACTGCATTTGGATTGCTTTTTGAACTGCTTTTGGCTCTAGAAGAATGTGGAGGACTTTGTTATAGTAGATCTCCAATTTCTAAATAGCTAAAGTGAGGTGAGATTAATTCCACTACCTACCATCAAAGGCAGAGTTCAATTTACCAACTCTTGTATGCAGCATCTTGTGGGTAGCCAGTGAGATTTGCCCATTTAATTGCTGTCAGTGGTAAAACATGATTGTGCAGGTGAGCAGCAGGCTGATACAGGTTCAAGTACACTCTATGGACAAATTCACTGCAGCAATGGGCTGCAGTAGGTGCTGAATGTAGAAACCAAGAATGCAGTTGTGCACACGCACTTTCTCAATGTGGCGTCTAATGTTGATGTAGATTTTTTTACTGTGAGATAAGAAATAGGAGTCTTCTCACTTTTACTCTCACATTTTAATCAGAGGCACCAAATGCTCCTTTTGCATTAGCTGTATCTGCCCTGTGTTATCTGCATCAGACACCTATTTGTGAAAGCAAGCATCAAAGAGATTGGGAATATCTAAGATCTGACTTTCAAAGGTGTTTCAAAGTTAATGGTAACGCTAAAAGCCCTAATGTAACACTGGAAATCCCAGAAACATATTTATTTGTGTTTGATCAGATTTATTCAATGACTGGAGCAACAATATCAAAGAGCAGATGAGATAGGACATGAAGGAAGCACATGAGGTGCTGTGCTACAGCTGCAGGATGGGGGCTGATGATGGGGGTGGTGGGAGGAAGGCAGAGTGAGAGCAGCACTGCCTGCCTGCACTCCATTACCTCCTTCTAAATGAGAACTCATCAAGACTGCCTTAGATACCTTAAAACTTTCTTACGCAACAGTGAACCCTATTACTGATTCTAACACAAGTACCTGTGAAATTGCATTAGGGCTCAGAACAATGATTTTATGCGATGAATTGATTTTCAAGAGACTAAATGCATAGAGTGGAGTGTGCTCAGTTAAAGGGGGAAAAAAAGAGAGAGAGAAGAGGTAGAAATACTCAGTCTTTGATGATCCAAATGCTGGACAGCAGCGATTAAATAGAGAGGGAAGACCAAGTACACAAGACTCATAAATTAATTGACCCAATACTTTAAAAAACTGTGAACAGGACCTTTCCTGTATTTAAAACCATTTTATATATAAAATATATTAAAAGCTTTGAAGAAGCATTTATGAGAAGGATTTTGAAGGTATTATTCAAGCCCAAAGTATATTATGTAAAACCTTATTATAGATTACTCTCCAGTACATATAGGGCTAGGATCATATGCTTCTGGCCAACACTTAACACAAATGTTTACAGGACCCAGCCTAGATGGCTGGATATAATATCATTAATATGCCCAAAGACAGTTCACCTCGTTTGCCCAGAAAATGAGTTGGTGATTTACTTTAGCCCTCCAGATTTTAAGTGGTGCTTTCTTTTGAATTCTACATTGATCTCATCATTACAGAATGATGTGGCCTTTAACTGTTGCAGTTGGGGAAGAGTATCTATGTGTGGCTGGTATTTTTCAGAGTGTCACTAGTATTCTTGGAAGCACCTTAACTCTCAATTTCCTCTCTCCATATCTTTCTGACAAGGTATGCAATGAGACTCAAGAATTTCACAGGCTCTTCTGCCACAGAAGGGGACAAGAAATTAGCAGTTTTATGGTAAGTCCCATTGCGATAATGAGAGAAGCAGCTAAAATCTTAAGGAGGACTTTAAAAGTACTGAATTACTTAAGCAGCTTACAGAAGATCATTATTCTTGTTTTCCATTAAACTATTAAAGGATAACTAATGGATTTCTTCAGCAGCTGACTAAACATTTATTCTTCTAATTTATACTCTTATCAAGAGGGGATTTTAATGCTTTTGACCACTTTTTTTTCTTTCTCCATTTGCTTATGTTTCAAAATCTAACCTTAGAACAGAAACTGCAAAATATCGGTCAGCATTTATTTTTTTTTTACAGTTTATAGGTTTCCTTAAGCAATGGAATTAACATAATCCTCTCGTAATTACCACAGCTACCGATGCTTATCACTTCTCTACTTGAGAATGTTTAAATTAAAGAAGGACCATGCTATGAAGTACTCCAGATCTCTGATGGAATATTTTAAGGTAATCTTTATGCTGCTTAATTTATTGATGTGAAATGAAATTCATACCAGTACGGAGAGCTTTCACAAGTATTAAGTGCATTACTTAAAAGTTACACATTTAACCCCTCCCCTGGGAAATGCAGGCAGGATGGCTGCCAGGCAGTGGGGACAGAAGTGATTTGGGGGATTTTTGGATTAGTCACTTGATTCAAAGGACCATACTCAGTAATTCTACTAAAATAACATTATTCTCAACACCATGTAATGTTTATGCAAGTTTCTGTAAAGGAAACTGATTCTTCCAAGATTTCAATGTGCGAGTGATTATGAGATGACCCCCAGTGAACCATAATAAAGCAATTACTTAGGCTTTAGTTAGTTGAATTTAGATTCTAAATTCAGTGAGATTTGCTGAAGCTTACTGCAGATTCAAAGATTTCTCCTTTTATTTCTGTGGAACTTCGAATTGTCTTATCTACATATGGAAAGCTTGCCTTTACCTTAAATCAAGTGAAGATCGGCTGATTGTCATCAATCAGTGATGTTTTCCTTTACCTTTCTCAAATGCTGTTTAGGAATGACAGATTCTCACAATCCCTAAATTGAGAGAGAAACATTATCTTTCTTTAACCCTGCTAAGGTTTTGATATTTGTATTTTCCTGGTTAATGCTGTTTGAGGAATGAGTTAATTTTTGTACTTTATTACTGCATATTATTCTATAATTAAGTATTTATACTGGTTTGTCAGCCCATTAGTCTTTTTTTTTTTGTTGATTTTGTCAGCCCTTGTGAATTTGTTCCAGGCTTTGGCATATTACTACTGCAAACCAGTAAAACTTTTAACACTGTAGTCTTAATATTTTAATGTAAATGGTCCTTCAGCTTCTAAATTCCAGTACTGTCATAGCACCACCACTTAGTCCTGACTTCCCTGGTGTCCTCTGTGTGGAACTTCAGTAATATTACTCCTGATCATATGCCTAAATTGAGGCTCTCTTGAAGTCATTAGGAGCGCGTCTGTTGTACTCACAGAGTTTTCAGTCAGGGATTTGCACAACAAATTAAGTTTGAACTAGACGTACCTGTAGTTTCAGCATTTACCTGTAATACATTTCATGCACTCCAGGTTTTATCCTGGATGGATGTAGATTATCTCTTAAAACATTTTCTGCAGAAAGTAATGATTTCTTAAAAAAGAAGGGGGTAAAGAGGATTCTTCTTCTGTGCAAATAAGTACAATGAAGAACATATTACTACACCCTGCATAAGACCCTTTTACTTTATCAGCACAGAGAAAATGTCTTTAATGTAAATGAAAATGAGAGAACAAAAAATTGAAACATAATAAAATAGACAAATCAGGAATGCTGGTTTTAGGTATCCAATTGAAGCTGAGTATTTCAGCTAATGTTACTGTATGTATGCTATAGGCACTGTAACTCATTTGCTAGAAGTAGTGTTTGAGTATATACAGATTATATGTTCAGGATCTTTTTGTAGTAAAGGCATAGGAGGAGAAAAGAAAAGAATGGAAGCTACTGACTACGTATTAGTTTTGTATTGCTGCACAATGCTCTCTGTGTTCACTAGTGAGAATCTGTAATACAAATGAAATAGATTAACTGTTTGAATAGAGTTGTTATTCAAGATTTTACACAATTTTAGCTGTGAAAAGTGCTGTTTAGAGCAGAGCTGGAGAGGAATTTTTTTGCAGAATTATTCTTCATATTCTTCCTCACAAAATGCCACTTTGTCCAAATTGAAACCATTTGTGGACAGAACTGGTTCTGATTAATTTCAGACAACTTAGAGTAAAATATAACTAAAATAATAAATTTTTAAAATTGAAACCAAACTTTATAAGATTAGCAGAAGGGGCATACTTCGATTCATTTCAACTAGAAGTTTGAGGAAGATTTTTATGGTTTTGGAAATGTGTTGTCAATAGTCATGGGCAAAGCTGTTCAAATAGTTTCATTGTCAAATAACTACTTCCAATTGAGAACTAATCTTAATCTTGACAGAGCTAGTACTTGTCTCCAGATATTCTTAGGAACAATCCCCAGACAGTAGAAAATAACATCAAAGCTGCTTCTTCATCCCTTAAGACTTCCCAGGGGAGTTTAGGATCTCCCTCTTTCTTATTATGTGAGTGGGTGGCAAAAATATACACTACATATGCTTCCATTTCATCTTTAATGAAACAGGTGGCATGCTGTATAGGAACATACAGGCAATGCCAGTATCAACTTTTGGGCAGTGTTTTCTTCTTTGGTTAATTAGCAAGTGTAGCTCTTTTAGAAATCAAGGTTGCAATTTTGCTCCCAGAGTCAGCTGCGCGACCCTGGGCCATGCCCCAGGCTGCTTTGTGTTCCTCTGAATCTCTGTGCCTCATGTAAAATAGTGATTACACTAACCAGATGAATATTGTAATAATGATGGTAATCCTTTGCAGAGAGCTTGTAAAATTTTATTGAATTCTCAATGTGTGCCCTGACTTCTTTGCAAGGGAGCTCAGTGAGTGTTTTCAGAAAGCACACATAGATAGCTTCAGCCCTGATAACTACCACTTTTTCCAGGAACTAAGTAAGATACCACCCAGTCTGAGCAAGACTGGAAAAATCTTGGCTTTATTGTTGCCAGGCAGTCTTTTTGTACGAGGTTGCACAAGGTGTTACACAGACGTGAAACACAGAATGAGTAAGCAGGTAAGGCAAGTCAATTTGTGCAAATAAAATACATAAAACCAAGGGCACTCAAGCAGATCCTTACTAGAAGTTTCATTTCTACTACTGTAAGAATCCCAAGCCACCTTCCCTACAAATCTGGGAGGGATTAATTTTGTTAAGGCATCAACCCAAATTCTTAGTGTTTCTTGTCAAAAGATTAAAGGCTTCCCTAAAGATAACAAGTCATTGAGTAAGTTTCAGGGGTAATTAAGCCATTTCTTTGTGAAATACGTCTGCTTTTACCGGAACTTTACTGTATTCTCCCTTTGATTAAGTGACTTTCAAGGTATTGGTTAAAACCTACCAGTCATCCGCCAGCCATTTAGTTACAGGACTGATGTGCAGAGCTGTTCTGCTGTATGCACTGTAGCTCTTGCAAAGAAAACGGGGATTGTTGAGCTGACATCATCAGTATTCATGTACTTGCATCACCCTTATTTACATTTTGGTTTTGTACTTACAGAACTCTTCAAAAGCCTCTCAGGCCCCCTCACCTTGGGGCGGCAATGGAAAGTGAGTATTTTCTGCTGAGTATTTCTGTCCAGGAGCAAGTGGTTCCAAGAGGGGGGGTGAAATGTTTTGATGCCTTTAAAGGCAAAGGACAGGCCATGACATAATGGTTTGGGAGCCACGGGTATGTTTCATATATGTAGCAGCTTGAAAATGTTCTTCAGGCTATAGAATTGACCTTATAGCTGCCTTAGGCTTGTGGTGTGGGGGGCTTCCACTGGGCTAAATCAGGTACCCATGTTAGACATCCAGTGTGGTTGGGAAGGAAGAGCCAAAACACAGCTTTGTCTTTGTGCAAAGCCCCCTTAAGTCTAATATCAGCCATGGTGGGTCTGTGCTGAATTCTTTGACAGTTTGCTTCTCAAGCCAAATGAAGGCCGTAAAAATATCTGTTAATTAGCTAGCAAGTACCATGTCATTTCAGGAAGCCAAAGTAAAGTTAACCTTCATTGCAATGATATTTCAATGGTTCGTTCAGTAATGAAAGACCAATGAATATTTCATTGATATATGGTAAGTGCTGTTTAATAAAACTGAAGGCATAATAGTGGTGAAAATGTGAAGGCACTTAGTCAACGAATTATCAGTGACTTTATATTAATGTTAAAGCACCCTCGCCTCAGATATGAAGTCAGGGCAATGCAATTGTGATCTGCCATTCAGTGAAAGTGCATTGCTGCTTCAACCTTGCCTTTATTGTGCAATGTCTAGTGCCACCTGACACACATTTCTCCTGCTCCTTTCTCCTTGCCACACATACAGGTGCAGGAAAAACAAAGGAGAACTTTACCTGTCTTACTTCTTTATTTTAGTATGCTGAATTCTAGGTGAAAATGATTCTTGTTAATGGTCTCTTTCTAGTGGTTCATAAGAAGAGATTAGTATTAGACACTCCAAGGAAGCAAAGCCATAAAACTGTAAAAGGGGTTGAAGCTTAACACACAGAGAACTGAAGTTTTCAGACACACTTTGTTCTGAATCAATGCAAACCCCCAACTTCCAAAATTTTGCTTAAAAAAAAAAATGCTGTCTTAGATGATTCAGAATATTTTGGTATATATACACACACACCAAATCCCCAAAATTGTTTTTTTTATGTGTATGTGTAGAGATATTTTAGTATACATTATAACACAAACTGAAGTGATGAAATACAAAATGTTTTTAAATAAAAGCAGAAAAGATATTTTAACACTGGAAAAACAACTACTAAATTAAATTCTTCAATATGTTTTTCATATGTTTTTCAATGTTTTTCAAAACATTGAAATGTCAGTGAAACCTTGTATTGCAATAAATATACAGTAAGGCTTACGTAAAATTTTAGTGCCAAAATAGACCACTGGAGTCTTACACTTCTTTTGTTCCTTAAGAAGTGGCTTGTACCTAAAAAATTCATAGAGCAGAAGTTACGCTTTTATTCCTGTCCTATAATAGACACCATGAAATGTGTGCTCTGCAGATGATGACATCTCCCTTGCTATTTAAAGGAGCTGATTAGGTGCCCAGGTTTTAGATTAAGTGGGTTTTGACTGGAATTCTTGCCTGGACACAAGGTAGGCAGCAGAAACCCAGCATTTGTTTCAGCATCACTTCTAACATAATACCCAACTGATTGGTCACTTCCCTCTAACTTTGGAGATAAGGAAGTAAAGCTCTGAAAGTGTATACCTCTGTCCTTTATTCAGAGAAGGAATCGCCTGACATGTAAGAATAACTGAATATGACAAGGCCTTGTTACAATGGTATTATTGTGAACACCCATGACCAAACACACGAAGGCCACAGTTCACACTCAGGTCTTCTGTCCCCTCAGAAGAAAAGCTCTCCAGCTGGCTCAGTTGCCACATGTCTTAGATGTTTCCTGGTGACCCCAGGGATTGTCACAGGCCTGGTGCTGCCAGTGGCAACACGTGCTCTGCCTTCCCCAGGGCTACTTGCTCTACAGTTTCCACTTATTCCCAGATAGGAAGAGAAGCCACACACCACAGAGGAGAAACTAAACACCATCAGGGTATGGCACCACTGGAGGCACATCAGCAGCCTAGCTTAGAATGAGGACAAAGCAGGGTATTCTTACGGGGTTTTTTTTTGAACATAGCAAATCCTGTCCATTGCCATGAAGTGTAGTTTGCTTGGGATCTCAGGCCATCAAAAATCTCACCTTGGCTAACTGGGATTTCTGACCACTTTTGTTTGAAAGGGTTGTGAACCTCTCTCTACAAGGTTGGCCTGAGTTCCAGGCTGGCAATGAAACAAAATTTCCTTGGTTTCATTACAGAAATGTTTCCCACCTCTAGCGACAGAAAGCACAAAATACACTGATTTAATAGACTCACCACAGTAATAATGGCTGTGCACAACAGGGTAAATCCAGTGAGCATGTGCTTTATTTGGCAGAAGTGCGTCAGCTTGTTGCAAGTGCCTCTAACAAAATACTCCTAGTCTCCTCAGATACTTATGATTTTTAACTGCTCCCAGACCTAATCTAGTATAGTTCAGCTCTTCTGTGCATTAAAGGCACTGCAGCGTGTCAAGTAACCAGGATGTTTTGAGACTTAAAATAGTTGTGCCATAGGATATGCTTAAACTATAAGCTGTGTAAAAACCTAGTAGCTTCTGAATTAACTTGGTCTTTACCTATGGAAGAAGAATGTATCACAGGAGCTTCTTGGCAAGCACAGGTAATAGCAGGGCACTGCTGGAAAATCATAGAACAGTTAGTGTTGGAAAGGACCTTAAAATTGGCAGCAAAAACTGTTGCCCTAAATGTCTTTCAGCCCAAGGCTGTGCTGTGGTGGCAGTCTATTCTGTGGCACCTGCAAGGTATCAGCACAGCAGGTCTGTACCCACACTTCATGTTCAGGACTATTGGTGGTGTCTTGTAAAGCCAAGAGGAGGAGCTTTTCTACCCTATTGTTCGGATCAGGCCCATAATGAGTGAGCTTAATGCTGTTGCACAGTGTGAAGCACCCAGTGGCAGCCTCTCAAGATGGGTTGCAGCATCCCCATCCAGAGGTTTAGCTTGGATGTTAGGAAAAATTTCTTCCCCAAAAGGGTTGTCAAGCACTAGAACAGGCTGCCCAGGCAAGTGGTGGAGTTGCCATCTCTGAAGGTATTTAAAAGCTATATAGATGTGGGACTTAGAGACATGGTTTAGTGGTGGACTTGCCAGTGCTGGGTTAGCAGTTGGACTCGGGGATCTTAAAGGTCTTTTCCAACCTAAATGATTCTATGATTCTGTAAATTTCAAAGAGAATAGCAGTATGTGAGCATTCAGTGCTGCACAGCTCTAAACATGAGCTTGCTGTGCTGACCTCTGCACTGCGTGCAGCCAGCAGGTAATTCCTAATTGCTGCTGTTAGAATTAAAGGAAAATCTATATTAGAACATTAGTGCTGCACTAACTAGGTAACTTAAAACACTGCCCTGAACAAAACTGTGCAGATGAACTGTAGGCAATTAGAAACAAATCTCCATAGCCACTCTTAAAGAATCCTATAGAGATATTCATAATCCTACAGTACCCTCAGCTCCTAAAACTGCTCTGCAGGGTGCTTTTAAGATTTGTACTTTACTTATTGTGGTGACTGTTTTTGGAGCAAACTGTCATCGTGGTTTTCACAAAATGCTTTGATAATAAGCCAGTATTGCACATTTAGTGTTTTCTAACTGCCGTTGCAGCTTCTGACAGCAGGTAGAAAAATCATTACAGCAATGAGATATTTCTTTGTCTGAAAGATTGCTCTATTTTGATGATAGATTTTTTTTTCTTTTTTAAATAACAGGTTCATTTATAGGGAGAATTAAATCCCTTTTTATTTTCAGTCATTCCACTTTATAAGCTCTCCTTTCTCATAAAACTAGGAGATACTACTACCCTGACTGGGTGCAGAGTTAATTTTTCAAGTGTATTTAGGATGGCAGTGAAGTTGTGTGGGGCTCACTCTCCCTTTACCTCTCGCAGGAGCACAGAAACACCATCGCCTATGTCCCTGAGCCCGTCCCCAGTCAACTCTGCTGGAAGCAGTGCGGGCACCGCCGGCTCCTCCTCGGCAGGGACCATCACCATCCCTCAGCGTATCCACCACATGGCTGCCAGCCACGTCAACATCACCAACAACGTCCTGCGAAGCTATGAGCACTGGGACATGGCTGACAAGCTGACTAAGGAGAACAAAGGTGCCCCACACCGCTTCTGCTTTGTCCCTTTTGGCTCATCAGCTTTAGCTTGCTTCCTGTTCTTGTAGGTGTTGGGAATTGGACCCAGAACCACTGCATCTAGGTGCACAACTGAGACAGCTTGAGCAAACAGACCAAATCTGCTTGCTGGTTGCTGTAGCCAATGTATATCTTCTCCTGTCAGGCACGGGAGGGGGATGTGTAACACACGCTGAACATGGGGTTATCAGAGCAGCTGGCAAATAATTTAACGAACATGAGCCCCAAGTGATGAGAGCTTTTGAGTCTGCAAATTTGTTCACAGTTTCAGCTTCTCATAGAACACCGAGGTTATTTTCAGGCTGCTCTGTCAATGGGTTGAAGACTACTAAAATGCTAGCTAGGATAATAAGCAAACTTTAAAAGTTATGTTTATGCAGGAAGTCCGGTTAGGAGATGTCCACTTTAAACCATGACCTTGACTCTCCTATGATTGAATTGCAAATCTGCTTGTTTATTCCTAACAATAAAATGTAAGTCTTTACCACAGTCATTTCAAAGGAGTTTTGGCAAGCAGTTTGTGACTGGATTATATCAAGTGTAGTGGAGTGGCTGAGATGTAACTAAAGGACAAATTTGGCCTACTGTTGACCAGCTGTGAACTTACCCATGATAATGTAATTATTCAGATTCCAGCTTTGGGCTTACACAAATCATTTACAAAGCTTTCTTTGACACTAAAGATACAGAGCCTAACTGGGAAATATTCTCATCATGAATTGGCTCATTCTCTTAAATTATACTGAGATTTCAGATGGCTGACTTCTCCTGACAAATGTGCTCGCTGTGTGCAGTTTGATCTTACTCCCATTAATGTCAGTGGCAAATTTCCACTGATTTAGAGAAACTAAGCTTGAGATTTATAGAGTTTTATGTCTGAATGGTGGGTCATAATGATCTATCCCTGGATGAAGAACAATAATAGAAGTTCTGTCCATTCCTCCCCACTGCTTCTTGTCTTTGTTCGCATTGGTTAATTTAGTAGCAGTGCAGTCATTTTGGATTTTTTCCATAGCTGCATCCATTTTCACAAAATGTGAAAGTGATTCCCTGTCAAACGTACTGCAGAATATTAAAGAGGGAATGCAGAAGGATGCTCTGACAGGAGAAAGAGATGGCGATAATCTTGTAATTAGCCCTGTGTGTTGTGGAGTTGTTAAATGTTCTACTTGGTATTGAATCAAAATAGCTCAGGCATTCAGCCAGCAGACAGAAAATGTACCCAGCCACTGCTGTTATCAGTCCTAGAGCTGGGTGAGAAAAAACCTGCTGACTCTCTTTCTGCATTTCCCCCCTACACTCCTCTTTGTTCTCGTTTTGATTTGCAGTCAAATAAACCTAATTCTGAAAAGCCATATAGGAATAATCTTTATTCAGATGAGCAGTCCCTTTGACTTTAGTGGAACTGGGTGCGTGAATGAGAATTTCTCACATGAGCGAGACATCTAGGGTTGTGCCCTGTTATTTTCATAGCTTGTTTCACGAACTGCAGCCACGTTACAGGGAATGGGAAGTTCATGTTACTTCAGATTTCATTTAAGTATTGTAAACCACTGGAGAGAGATCAGAGTTTCATACATGCTATAGCGTATCTGTCTTTACATTTTGTCTGAAAGGATACCTCATTTCTAATTAAATACTGAATTTAAAGTTGCATGTTTATACACAATTAGACTGCAGTTTGAAAAATTCATGGGGTAACAAAAAAGTGTATATGAACTGTTGTGGTACTCTGCAGTCATCATCATATCACATGATGGATTCTATTTACAGAAGTATTTAAGACACTTTGACATGAGAAATGGTACAATGTTTTATGAAACCCAGCTGTAATTATTTTAGTAGATGTCATTTGTGCCTCTCAATCCAAAACACCTCTACCTTTATGGCTGAGACAGGACTCATCCCTTTCCCCAAGGCTAGCTCTAATGCACCTTTGCCAGCTGGACTGGCCATTGCAGTGCCCAAGGTCTGGGACACTGGTACATGGACTCTTGAGTTTTAAAAATGCAGCATGACAGCAAGCAGGATAGATGCAAACCCCAGACTCTGCTTTGAATCCCAGGTAAAGGACAGATCTCCTGGTCTCTCTCAAGAGTTCTGGCAGTCAGTTCATCAGAAAATTGAAAAAAATCACAATTTATAAAATCATAATTCATTCCCCCCTAAGTAAGAGTGGTCTCAAAAACCAAACAAATAAACTCAAACCCATAAAGAAACACACATGTAAGATAAAAAAATCATTTTCTTAACAAAAAAAAAACAAAACCAAAACAGAAATACAAACCAGATCCAGTCTCTTTTTGGTTTGGGGTTTTGGGTTTGTTTTTTTGTCATCAGTTCTTATTGTTTTTGTCGTCTTCTGAATCACAGGGTGTGCCTTGCCCAAGAACATGTCCCTGATGAACAAACAGAGATGGATGTAAAAATGTGGCCCCATCGTTGTAATGTCTAATAGCCTTTACCTCTACATCTTACTGCTGTCATAGATGTTTCTTAGGTCATGCCCATGCAGACACAAGAGATTTCTTCCATGGTGTAGGAGTTGTGCAGTCTCCTCTTGTCCACAGCTGTCAGCTTAGGTTTTGTGCTCCTCTGAGTGTGCCTGTACACTCCCAGTTTGGACTTGACTCATGTCCAGCTGGCTCAGAGCAGGAGACAGCAGCCCTTCTTGTCAGCCTGACAAAAGATGTGCCATTAAAATAAAAAGGCATGTCAAAAGGGATAACAGTGGAACTGTGACTCGCCAAGCTGATCTGGTTTGAAAAGGAGAGTGGGAACATACTGCTGTGTACCTCTGGTTGAATTTCCCCTGGTCAGTAGACTTCAGAGTGTGGGGGAGACTAAAAGGAGTTTGTCACAAACTCTGAATCTGTAACAGGCCAGGCTAAACTGTAAACAACCCATGAGCTGGTTTATGCCCATGAGAGATTTTTCACCATTTATAACATCAAACTCTCAGCTGGCTTTAAAAATCAGATTTTTTTTTAAGCTTCCAAAGATAGCAGCACTTTTTCTCTACAGCAGAAAACTATCAGCTCTGGAGAGACAAAGGCCTATTCTTTCATGCATAAATTTAATAGTGGCTTCACTGCTTGTAGATTTCTCAAGAAATATTAAACTGAAATTAGGCTTTAAGATAAATTCTCAGTGTTTAAAGCAATTACTATTTATTTGAGTCTAGAATGAGATCTCTAGAATGCAAGCAAGACAGTGCATTATTTCACTTCTAAATGTATTGATTTTACACTGGAGGAGAGGAGTAAAAGAGAGGAAGGAAGATTAAAAGTAACTGCTGGCTGCAGCATCTTAAGGCAACTGGTGATAGCCCTAAGCTTTCATTATGCTTGCCTCCAGCCAAACCACTTTGTGCTGTGATACTGCTGTAGCTCCCAAGCTGACCAAGGTCAGTCTGTCAATACTTGGATAGAAGACCTCAAAGTAGCACTTACTTGCTGAAGAAAGTACTGATAATGATTTTGTACCCGGCATCCGCTCTCCCGAACTGCAGCCAACACAGTGTTAGCTGTCTGAGTGCCGTGTACTGGATTTTAGATAGGGTGAGAATGTAAGGGCTCAGCCACTGTTTACTGTGACTGTTGGTTGTTATCTGAGCTCTGAGGGGCTTCAACTAAGAGCAGGCTCCACTCACCTAAGTATAGTGTAAGTAAGTGTTGTATATGTAGGAATGCCTGCACCTCAGTGAGCAAAAAGACAGCTGTGGGAGAATAGAGGACACAATCCAGTTCACCATTGAAAGCAATTAAGAAAGGTCTGTTAGCTCTAACAGGATTAGTCTTTCACCAAGAGTGCATCTAACACATGGCATAAAGTAAACTAGTGTGTCACTTCCTAACTGTGGCTGTTTAGTGACCTTCTGTTAACCCTTCCCAACAGCAGATCCGAGTGGCCTTACCCATCTTTTCTTTCCCTTTATAGGTTTCTATCTCCTACATGCTATTTTCCTGCTGTGTTCCCTCTCTCCTATTCCTTCTCCCTGCCTACCCCACACATCCTTTGCGGTCTGCAGCTGCAGCAGAATGAGCAGAGGGACAAAGCTGCTGCAGAGGCAGTAACAGAATTTGGAGGGTGGGACAAAAAGCAAGTAAGGTCTTCTGTAAGATCCAGATTGGCTCTGGAGATCTGTAAGATCCAGATTGTAAGATTGGAGATCTGTAAGATCCAGATTGGCCCGGGAGAGGGTACAGCATAGAAAAGGAAATGCCACAGTTTGTTACCAGCTATTTAAATCATGCAGTCAGCAAACCTAGACTCAGAAAACAGAAAGTGCAAATCATCAGAGCTAAGGAAAGACTATTGGCAACCACTCATACTACACTGTGGTTAGCTTCCAGTATGGATAATCTAATTGGGGCTGCTTAAATATATTGCTGCCTTTCTTTCCTACTGACCATGTGCTCATGTGTGCAATATCTTGCAAACTCACTACTTGCACTGCTGCTGCTGAGTGGGAAGTCATGGTATGTGTATGTACTTCAGTATCATTGCCTGAAGGAATGACTTCTATTTCTTGTGTATTGCAGAATTCTTTGTAGACCTGGACTCAGTGATGGGACCCTTAACGCAACACAGCAGTATGACCAGTCTGGTTCGTTACGTTCGCCAAGGACTCCACTGGCTCCGCATTGAGGCTCATTTGTTGTAGTGACTGCTGCCCTGTTCATAACATCCCCATTCTTCTACCTCTACCAGCGCAGAGACGATCACTGGTGGAACTCCACTCATTTTTGGAAGTTTATTCATGTAACTTCATTTTTATTGCCTTTTTTAATATCCTATCTATTGGAAGTAGAAGTCACCATAAATTGAACTTATGACTCAAGAGCAGTATGTGTTGTACCATCTAATCATTTTCAACAATTTTCTATGCCTTGTGTCTCCTGGATCCTGCCATCCTTATGTGCTTTATGGAACGGTACATTCCCTGCAGTATTGTTTTAAGTCCATGCTGCCTTCAAGTGAAAACAAAAAAGCACTTTGAGAAGATATGGATTCCTGAGAAATAGTACAAAGCGTCTTAAATATTTGAGGGTATATATGAGAAATCCCTTCTGAAATAAATTAGTAGAAGTTATAGCTATTCATATGATTTTAAATCGTCTTCTGAACCTGAACCTAGCTTTTTGACGCTAAATTTTGGCATCATTACCTGACATAGTACATTCCTAATGTTTCATGTTTCCTATAGGCTTAATCTCTAAAAGAGAACATTGGATATCTTACAGATACATAATGTAAGATCGCCAAAGGTGTTAAGAGGTAAAAGGTTGAAGGAATGCCTCATAAAAGAATGATGACACACTATGCAATGAGGTTTTGATATTACATTCTTCCTGTTTATTGTTGGCTTAGTAATTTCATTAGGCAGCAGAATTTATTGCAGTTTTTAGGCAGTTTCCAAATATTAGCTTTCATAGTCTTATCTACCATTTCTATACTAAATCTGTGACTTTTCTTTCAGTTTTGCTGTTTAGTTTCAATCAAATACTCATCCAAGACTTTTTTTTCACAGAATCTCTCCTTGCATAGTGACTCAGTGAAAGCAGATTTTAACAGGACTGCTACACTCTAAGCATTGCTATTGTATGTGAAAGTCCATTAATAAGTGTATGCAGATTCTTCATGAAATTCTAGAAGTTTAACTAACCAGCTACTATTGCAACATTATAATTCCATGTGGCATCTATTTTCACCTGTTTTGTTCATTTCAGAACATTAGAAACGAACAGTATTATTTTGCTATCTTGAAAACAATGTCAAATTAAATAAAATCACTAGATTTACCCAAAAGCAATATAACATTTGTTTAATAATGGCCATGAATACTTCAGTCAGATTACCTATTTTCCAAGCTCTGCATCTGTTTACCCATGCTGTCATGTTTCAGACCATTCCTCTAATGCGTGAATAATAATGAGACAATTCAGATAGAATTTCAAAGCAATTGTGAATAAATTACACCATTTCACATTTGCTCTTTCCTCTTCTTTTCTTTTTTTTCCCCTGTTATAAACTGCACTGCTCTTCTGGTGCCACTGCAAGAAGCGCTGGTGCATGAAACAAAACAAAATGAATTTATATCAATAATTCGCAAGACTTTAAATGGTCTCATCTCATTCTTGGTACAACGCCTGCATACCTTACTGAACTGTAAAATCCATTTCCATAAACAGAAAATGCTCATAGCAATGTAAATATTATTCTGTCTCATCTCATTGAAATAATACAATATGTGTATTAAATGCCATCCAGATATTAGTTAATTGCAATTACCTTCTGCTATATAAACCTGTATATCTTTTAATCTGGTGAGTTATTGGTTTCTACCCACTGGGTTGTAACCAGATAAATAGGAAAAATTTGCATTTAAGAGGTTCAGACTGTTATGATTTTTAAAGCAAGCCCTGGATATTTGCAATAAGAGCAGTTTGAGGACTCTGCCCAATGCATATTTAAGACAAACTTTACTGTAGCTATTGTATATTAGCTCCCTGTAGTACTACCTTTTCTTAAAAATCAATAATTCCTAATGTTTTGTTCCAGAAGACTGTATTGTAAATGTAGCCAAGGTGCGTCATTAGAGAAATCATCAAGGTTAGGGTTGTCTGCAAAGGACATTTGCAGAACAAGCACATCCTGTATTATCTGCACATTCCTGTTCCTGAGCTGGTCGATACACCCTTATCTGTTCTCTTAGGGTTTCAGTAACACAGCTGAAACGTGAATCTGGCAGCATTCATCACAGTGATTATGACCCCAGTAGCCAATGAATAAAAACCATGACAGTGAGAACCATTCAGAAACATAGATGAAAGGTGGCTGTTGGTTTTTTTTTTAAGAAAAAGAAAACAAAACACTTGAAGTACTTTATTCAACTTTTTTAACAGGGTGAGTACTTGAGATGAAGTAATGTTGGGGTGGGTTTGTCATAAGCTGCCGTTTTCCATTCTTTTTTCAAGATCACACTAATGCGATTCAGTAACTATTTAGTCTAATTAAACGTATTGTCATCACTTTTTCCTTTAATGTAGACTGAAGCCCTAGACTTCCATGCATTTACGAAGGATAGATATGTCTTGAAATACAGTCTTCAGATACAAGACTGTTCAAAGAAGCAGCTGCAGTCACTTGGTGAAGACACCGTATTACCTTCCCCCTGGGGCTTGCAGTAAACAGACTCCTATCTCTACGTTTAGCCCATGTTCACAATCTTTTGCTTAAACAGCTTAAGGAATTAGCCCACCTTATTTCGTATCCTGTGACTTAGTTTGAAATGTATGCTGAATCAATGGCATGATTATAGTAAGTCCAGCAGTCAAGTCTAGGATCACAAGCCAACTTACTATTTAGCAGTCTTGTTTTAAAAGCGGCTTAGAAACAAATTAAATATGGAGAGTGAATTACTATCTTATCCCTGGAGATGATGCTTCTTTTGGGTTAGTTATTAAGGATTATTGCACTTATACAGGCACTATATTCATCTCATTTCAAATGGCAACATGTCATCTTTGTGGAATCATTTTACCCCTTAAAATATTACTTCCAGCAGAGTTAATCAAATGAGATTGTTTGTTTCAATCCATGGGGAAGCAGCATGTGTTTGCTTGGGCATTTGCTATGTCTGCTCTTAATACAGCCCACTTAGGCATTCAAACTCATGAACCAAGCTCCAAAAATTACAAGATTGCCTTCAAATCACAGGTGGGGAGTTTTTTAAATAAACTTTTTGGGTTCTTGCATTGCCTTCTGGATCCTGAGCTTTGAGACTGATTTCATGACACGTTTTCAGGCATTTTTCAAGCATGCCAAGGGCCAGAAATGACACATTTGTTTTTAATAGTGATAAACTGGGACAGTAATGTAATCTCTTGATTTCTGCAGCTGGGATTTAAGGACACCAAGCTTCATAAAAAATTGCAAGAGCTGACAAGACTCTCGTTTGTGTCCCATGCTTCAGGAGCTTTGGAGCAATATCAATAGTTCAGCAGTGAAGGGAACATGCCAGTAAAGGGCTAAATAAATGCAAGCATTTGGGAGCTCCATCAGTGTGAGATCCGAGGACAGCAAAGTCCTAAGTACTCAAGTGAGGCATTTGCATAGCACTTAACCTGTCTGTCAAGAGCTGCAGCAGGTCTTAAGTGAAGCATTTGACAATGTGCAGGCAGAATATCCTGTTTGAATGCAGTATCTCTGGCCACATGATGTGTGTTGGATCCCTGAGATCAGGGACCAGAGGGAAAACCTGAGATGATGAATCCATATGGCCCATTATCCCTCAGACTATGTCCTAGTGGACGTGGATCTCAGCTGTGCTCCTTGGGCTCCTTTCAGAGAGCAAATAGTTCTGCCCACGCTTACCAAACTTAACAGTGTAAGTGGTTCCTGCTGAATTTGGATATATGGGTTTGGCCCAGTATTTCTGCTGTGCTGTTTAGTTTAGTTTGTTATTTTATTTTGTTTTGTTTTGTTTTGTTTGTTGTTTTAGTCATTCTGATTTAGCTTTCAGCCTTTTTGTTGATAGTGGTAGTGGTGAATTTCACAGCTTGCTTCTTATAGCTTAATTTCACTTTTTATTACATGGTCTTTGGGCTTCTAATCATTTTAACAGTCCCTCTGTGAATATATTGTCTCATTGATGAATTATTTCCTTTCAAAGATAGGGACAGGTCTGTTGAGATCAGTGTGGGATTTTTTGAAGAATAAAAAAATCAAGATCTTCATCCTTCCTAAAGAAACAGAACCTGAGAAATTGAATCTGGACCATAATTTCTTAGATTTTTTTCATTTTGCAGATTTTATGGTGTTCTATTATAACAGTTTAGATTCACTGACAAGTTTTTAGGTACTTTGGAAGAAATGTTTTCATTGTATTTTTATTAGTGTTTAACGCTGCCTGAATCAGTGATTAGTTTCATGAGTGAAACTTAAAAGGTAGCAAATATGGAGCTGGTAAGGATTCTGACTTGAGTATTGATATATTTCTTTACTTTGAATTCAGGATAAACTCCACTACACACAGTATTGAAGGAAGCACGTGTGTGTGTGTGTGTGTACACATGTAGATTTGGATATGGATGTGCAACACAAAGTCCCTGCTCAGTACTTCATAGCACAGGAAAAAAAGATGCAATAGCTATAAGGAGAAAACACTCTTACCACTGCTGAATAGTAACAGAATTATCAGTGTTCCTCTGTAGTTTGCATCTGTTGTCTCCTTGCAGGCAGTGAAGGTATGACAGGTAGTAGCAACAACTCTGTCATCTTGGTCCTGTGGCCCCTGAAGTCAGCGCCAAAACCACGTGCTGTCAATGTATTGTTTATCAGAAGTTAACTCATGCAATATACCCGTGTCTTGAAATTTTAAGAAAGGCAAAAATACTTCACAAGTCACCAAAGAAAACTAATTTGTCATTATGAACCAACTGTGAAACGTCTTATAGGTGGGCAGGTCCACCAACCCAGGGCCTTTGCCTCTCTCAGCATCTCCCCAGCCTCACTGAGTGCGCTGGGAATGAGGCAGAGGGGGTGACAATGAGAAGCCAGTCCACTGTCCTTATGACATCTTCCAGCTTTACTTTACATAGTTTTATAAATACAAATAAAACAAGTCTTGTTAATGTTGGGAGGACTCATTTCCTCTGTTTCTGATACTTCTGGATTTCCATGGTATAACGAGACCACTATCACAGCAATGCATATAGGCATTCTGTATTGTCTAATGAGATATATAGAGAGATAGACCTCAGTAGATAATCACTTGATATTTCATAGCTTATATGCAAAATCTAAAAGCTCACTTGGTCTCTTCTTCAGGATGTGTCCCTGCCCATGGCGAGGGGGTTGGAACTTGATGATCTTAAGGTCCTTTCCAACCCTAACTATTCTATGATTCTATTCTATGAAAACCTCCCTGCTACTGAAGGCAAAATGTTCCTGCCTGACTTAAGAGAGCAGCCATCTTCTCTGCAGTACTCTGCCTTTCTGGTGGACTCAGTAGCTTTATTTTAGCCATTCTGTTTCAAAGATCTTTTGTCTGTTTCTTTTGTCTTCCAGGATCAGTGATCACCTTACGCTAGTTTAAACCCATGGTGGTAGCTGTGGAAGTCAAAAGAGAGTGAGCTCAGATTTTGTGTACAGCCAGGGGAATCCCATGGCTCTACAGATAGAAATGAGAGCAAATTCAGGTGCAGGTGAGTTACTGCATAAAACTGGTGTCAGATAAGAATCAAATCTGACCTCCTTATGAGGCAGAAATGATAAGCTGTGCCCAGAAGCACAAGGTATGTAGCAATGTCTCAGCTTATTGGCATTGTAATCATGAGGCAATGATAGGGATGTGAAAAGTGGTTTAGAGAAACCAGGGCAAGTTGGTGTGGTCTGGCATTATGAATTTAACCTGTGCATGCTTCACACACATACTGTTGGTATGTCCTGTACCATGGTATCCTACAAAATCTGAATATGGCACCATCCCATCCAGTTCCTTAATCCAGCCCAGGGTGCCACCACATCTCACAAAGAGCTAATGCTTATCTTTGCCCTGAAGTCACCGTACAGTTAAACTATTTTTCCCTTGCAACTCCAGCAAGGACCAAGCCCAGGGTGGCTGGCTCAAGTAGCAGTGTGTGTGCTCAGTGCTCTGGAGAGAGGCTGCAGAGAAGACCTGACCTTGCCTCCCACGAGTTGTGGAGCCATACGCAACTCCCTGAGCCCTCACCTTACTCAGGGTGTTGGGCTACTACAGATCTGCATAACCCTGACCATTGGTGTGCAGGAGATGTGGTGGGGGACCAGGGCTGTGCCCAACAGGAGTGAGTGGCTCCAGCCCCAGCACCTGGGTGCAGCAGAGCTGTGGCTCTGCATTGCTTTTAGGTCTTGGTCCTCTGCTGCTGCAGGTGGGACTTGGATTTGGGCACTCCATTTTCCATGCACTGAATCTGGGAACGCCAAAGGAGTTGACAGAAGTGGTGCATGCGGTCACATCATAAAACTAAGGCAATAGTCACTGTATGCAGAATTGCATTTTAAATTGTAGTGTCCACGGGACCACTCGTGCTTACAGGACTCTAGCTGAGTCCAGCTGATGCCAGTTATTAAAGCCATGTGAGTGGATGATGCAGCTGTTTGAGACTTGTGTTCTTTAATTTTAACTGAGTTTCCCTCTATGCAAGTCCTGTAAGCACTCTGTGTGCTGGATATAAGCTTACTCACAGTTGTGTGTCAGTTTGGTGTAATTCCATTGAAAACCCCATCAAACAGAAATAGCTCTAATTTCTAGTCAGTTATTTCCTTCTCTGAATTAGAAGAAAAGTCAGATTCTGAAGTTAATTTATTGTTTTAATGGACAACAGTAATTACAATGGACCAAACTTTCAGCTGAGCAAATGTAAAGTAACTTGGCTCAGCCTGTGGAATTCATGGGACCAAATTCTGCTGTCATGAGACAATCACACAAGTAAGCACTGTTTATCAAAGGAGAAGCTGGTTAGCAGAAATGGTACATAGGCTATTGGGGCAGACCATAAATTGCATTAAGACCATCAATTCAATGGAATTACACCTATTTTTGTTCTGGCTGAGCACTCTCACCCCACTGAAATAGTTCAATGTCTCTGGACTAGAGCTGGCATAACTGCAATCAGACTTGTTCTTCAACCAGACCTTATGTTGAATCAGCCCAGCTCAGGGAAACCACTGTTGACTTCAGTGACAACGTGGAGTTACGAACATGAAGAAGCTTTGACCCACTGGCAGGAGGCTTTTACCCATGAATTTATAAATTAACTGAATAGTGGATAACAACACACATGCTTTATTTATGACAGAGGTAAAGTACAAGTTCCCCAGCTGGCGTAGGCTGGTATAGGAGTACTGACTTCAGTGGAGTTAATCCAATATGCACACACTAATGAGCAAACCCTCCAACCCCAGACTAATTTTTGCTGTATCTCTATGCAGACAAGATTCCAAAGCTTTTATCATCATGCCTTTTTTACTGTTCATGCCAATGAAATTATTAATGTACTATAATCCTTGCCTTTAAGGAGATACTGTACTTCGCAAAGCTATGTAGTGTAGAGCACATCATAAAACTGCTTTAGACCACACAGTCTGGGAAGGCATTATCAGAAACCAGACAAACAGAGCAGCTCTTTATCAGATGTTGGTGACATGTTCACTCTGCGCTTCCACCACTGAGTTTTACATCTGGAGTGAATGATGGCTGTACATTTCTGATGACTGTGGGTCAGAGCTTCAGCTGATGTGCCTCCAAGTAGCTCTGTAGATGTCAGGGCTGATTTACACCAGCTGAAAAACTTGTACTCTGCCTTTTCATACCATACTGAATGCTCTAATGTAACTTTAGAAATACATACTGAAGCTGAGTATATATTGAACTCTTCTGATTCAGCACCAGATAGTCCCTGCTAAAAGAACTGGAGGGTAATTTCTGCCTACCATCTAGGCTTGCATGTGTTTTAGTTTTAACTGAAAGGCATGTTGCAATTTCATTACCTCTGAGTTTAAATATTTACCGGCATCAGCGTTAGCTTGCATAGAAAAATGGCAAATATATTCAAATGTGTCATAAATGCTCTCAGTCTAGAAATGGAATCTGTTACTTTAGCTCAAAGACATTGCAGCAGGCTAAAGTGGTTTTTCTAATTCAAAAGCCGTGGCAAATATTTATCTAGGCCTAATTTTGCTGTTCTTCCCCTGAGCATCCTCATCGGCAGGTTGCTCCACTGAAAGCCACAGGAGTAACTGTGTAAATTAGTGCTGAGCACACAGATTGCAGAATCGGGCACAGAATGTCAGGTTGATGCAATCAGGAGTTTAATTTTAGCCATATGTGTCATTTGAGGACTCTTAAAAGATCTGTACATTTTATCCAAGCTGACAGTCCTTGTAATTCCATCAAATATTGTATAATTTACTCCTGTCTGTATTTTTGACATCTCTGGATTACATATTTTCTACTGAATCTTAAATGCTGTTTTTTTTAAACCCACATTCCAGAGGCCTAGGATGTATCACCACAGAATATGAAAACAAGTCAAAAGATCTGTTTATATTTTGCTCTGGTTTCGAGCTGTCCTTTTGTTGGTGTTCTGTCTTTGGCTGTAGTACTCCCAGTATTTTAAAAGTGGCTCTATTCAATTCAAGATCCTGCCTGTCTTTTGGGGAAAAAAGAAAGCAAAATACAGCTAAGGTTGGGGAAAAGTAATCATGCAAGCTCAGTGGGTGTTTGCTCTTCCTAGTTGTCTTGATTTTTAACCCAGCCATGTTGCGAGTAGCCAAGTCTGCGTGTTCTCTTTCCCACGTTTCTGGCTCTTGTGGCAAATACTAGATTTTCCTTTCTTTTTGTTTGTTTTTGGTTTTGTTTTTGTTTGGTTTTTTTTTCATTTTGTGTATGTGTGTGTGTGTGTAGAATGAACCAAAATATCAGGAAAATTTATATACACTTTCTTCTGGTTCCTGGAAATAGAGCAACATTATGACCTTACGGTCTTCCAGCAAAAGTCTGATTTGATTTCTGCATTGCAGTGCAACTTAATTAGCTATTGGAATTAGATTATGGTTTACTAAATGCCCTTTACCTTACATTCTTACTTTTTATTTACTATTGAAGTAGCCTTTTTTTTCTCTTATGTGTGCAAATACCGTATCAATAATCACTGCAATTCCACAAGGTGTCTTTGTTCTGAGCAAGCATGTTATTCTTGTAAAGTTTTAAGTATAAGTTAAGATGTTTTGTACAGACCAAGGTAACTGTTAAAATGTCAAGCAATTACTGAAATGTTGTATAGTTCTAAAAGTTTGATTTCTTTTGCTTTATATGTATAAAATTGTATCTTGCCTGTTTTGCTTTGTATTTCCAACGTGTTGCACAATTATGCATTTTGTTTACATTTGTTCCTTCTTCAGACAAAAAAAAAATAACAATAATACTTTATGTACAAACATTTTAAATGTACTTTTGTTGGTTTTAAACACAATGTCTCTGTATAAATAATATTGGTTGAACTGGTACCATTGTGTCTCTCATAGAGGGATTAATTATACTGCCAGTGCATTGAATTATTTAAAAAAAAAAAAGTAAAATAAAATTTTTATGAAAATGTAACCCATTTTATCACTATAAATTATTCTGTCTTCTGCTATTTTCTCATTCCCCTCCCAGGATACAAGAAATATGGTACAGTAAGTACTGTTCGTGGGAGAGCTGTCACTGGTTTTAATTTTTAATCAATGTGTTTGTGTCATTGCGGAGACTTAGAATGACTCGATGTTAGAAAATAGTGCAGTGCTGATTCCAGCTGCAAGGTGATGGGATCAGTAGTCTGTTTTCCCCATCCCCGAGGGGCCTCTACTGCACAACAGCGGCCTAAATGCTGTCTGTCCCAAACCCCACCTGAAAAGCATAGGAGCCAGGCTTCAAAGGTTCCAGCATGACTGAGGTGGTGTAATTCCACATGCTGACCCTCTGTGCAGGGGTGTGCTTGTCCCCCGAGGCTTCCGGGGTGACAAAACTAGAACCACCAGATTTTATATCATCATCACAGCTCTGAGACACAGTGCCAAGAACACCGGCTCAAAAGAGATGTAAAAAGCTCTTG